GATAGTTTTGTGATAGGATAAATTGTAACGAGCAACAAGTAACAAAAGTAAATAAAGTGCAGCAAGGTGGCCCAGTCCTTTTGTAGCAAAGGACAAGCCGGAACAAACTCTTATAATAGGAAAAGCGCTCCCGAGGACACATGGGAATATCGTCAAGCTAGTTTTCATCATGTTCATATGATTCGCGTTCGATACTTTGATAATTTGATATGTGGGTGGACCGGTGCTTGGTTGATGTTCTTACTTGAACAAGCATCCCACTTATGATTAACCTCTATTGCAAGCATCCGCAACTACAACAAAAGTATTAAGGTAAACCTAACCATAGCATGAAACATATGGATCCAAATCAGCCCCTTACAAAGCAACACATAAACTAGGGTTTAAGCTTCTGTCACTCTAGCAACCCATCATCTACTTATTACTTCCCAATGCCTTCCTCTAGGCCCAAATAATGGTGAAGTGTTATGTAGTCGACATTCACATAACACCACTGGAGGCTAGACAACATACATCTTATCAAAATATCAAACGAATACCAAATTCACATGACTACTCATAGCAAGACTTCTCCCTTGTCCTCACGAACGAACGTAATTACTCACAAAGCATATTCATGTTCATAATCAGAGGGGTAATAATATTCATATAGGATCTGAACATATGATCTTCCACCAAATAAACCAACTAGCATCAACTACAAGGAGTAATCAACACTACTAGCAACCTACTAGCACCAATCCCGGACTTTGAGACAAGGATTGGATACAAGAGATGAACTAGGGTTTGGAGATGAGATGGTGCTGGTGAAGATGTTGATGGAGATTGCCCTCTCCTGATGAGAGGAGCGTTGGTGATGACGATGGTGATGATTTCCCCCTCCCGGAGGGAAGTTTCCCCGGCAGAACAGCTCTGCCGGAGCTCTAGATTGGATCCGCCAAGGTTCCTCCTCGTGGCGGCGGAGTCTCGTCCCGAAAAGTTCCTCTCTATTTTTTTCTCATCGAGAGACCTCATATAGGAGAAAATGGGCATCGGAGAGCCACCAGGGGGCCCACGAGGTAGGGGGCGCGCCCTAGGGGGGGCGCCCCCCACCCTCGTGAGAAGGGTGTGGGCCCACTGCCCTTCATCTTTGGCGTGTATTTTTCTTTATTTCTTTTAAGACGTTCCGTGGAGTTTCAGGACTTTTGGAGTTGCGTAGAATAGGTCTCTAATATTTGCTGCCTTTCCAGACCAGAATTCCAGTTGCCGGCATTCTCCCTCTTTATGTAAACCTTGTAAAATAAGAGAAAATAGCCATAAGTATTGTGACATAAAGTGAATAACAGCCCATAATGCGATAAATATCGATATAAAAGCATGATGCAAAATGGACGTATCACCTACGCACACGCAAGATCATGGTGATGCATAGCAACGAGAGGGGAGAGTGTTGTCCACGTACCCTCGTAGACCAAAAACGGAAGCGTTAGCACAACACGGTTGATGTAGTCGTACGTCTTCACGATCCGACCGATCAAGTACCGAACGCACGGCACCTCCGAGTTCAGCACACGTTCAGCCCGATGACGTCCCTCGAACTCCGATCCAGCCGAGTGTTGAGGGAGTGTTTCGTCAGCACGACGGCGTGGTGACGATGATGATGTTCTACCGACGCAGGGCTTCGCCTAAGCACCGCTACAGTATTATCGAGGTGGAGTATGGTGGAGGGGGGCACCACACACGGCTAAAAGATCAACATATCAATTGTTGTGTCTATGGGGTGCCCCCTGGCCACGTATATAAAGGAGTGGAGGAGGGGAGGGGCCGGCCCTCTCTATGGCGCGCCCTAGGGGAGTCCTACTCCCACCAGGAGAAGGATTCCCCTTTTCCTAGTAGAACTAGGAGCCCTTCCAAGTAGTAGGAGTAGGAGAGAAGGAAAGGGAAAAGAGAAGAGAAGGAAGGAGGGGTCGCAGCCCTCCCCCTTAGTCCAATTCGGACTAGGCCTTGGGGGCGTGCAGCCTGCCTCTCTCTCTTTCCCCTAACCCAATAAGGCCCATACACTCCCCGGCGAATTCCCGTAACTCCCCGGTACTCCGATAAATACCCGAATCACTCGGAACCTTTCCGATGTCTGAATATAGTCGTCCAATATATCGATCTTTACGTATCGACCATTTTGAGACTTCTCGTCATGTCCCCGATCTCATCCGGGACTCCAAACTACCTTCGGTACATCGAAACACATAAACTCATAATATAACCGTCATCGAACTTTAAGCGTGCGGACCCTACGAGTTCGAGAACTATGTAGACATGACCGAGACACGTCTCCAGTCAATAACCAATAGCGGAACCTGGATGCTCATATTGACTCCCACATATTCTACGAAGATCTTTATCGGTCAAACCACATAACAACATACGTTGTTCCCTTTGTCATCGGTATGTTACTTGCCTGAGATTCGATCTTCGGTATCTCAATACCTAGTTCAATCTCGTTACCGGCAAGTCTCTTTACTCGTTCCGTAATACATCATCCCGCAACTAACTCATTAGTTGCAATGCTTGCAAGGCTTAAGTGATGTGTATTACTGAGTGGGCCCAAAGATACCTCTCCAACAATCGGAGTGACAAATCCTAATCTCGAAATACGCCAACCCAACAAGTACCTTCGAAGACACCTTTACGTTGTGACGTTTGGTAGTACACAAAGTGTTCCTCCGGTAAACGGGAGTTGCATAATCTCATAGTCATAGGAACATGATAAGTCATGAAGAAAGCTATAGCAACAAACTAAACGATCAAGTGCTAAGCTAACGGAATGGGTCAAGTCAATCACATCATTCTCCTAATGATGTGATCCCGTTAATCAGATGACAACTCTTTGTCTATGGCTAGGAAACATAACCATCTTTGATCAATGAGCTAGTCAAGTAGAGGCATACTAGTGACACTCTGTTTGTCTATGTATTCACACATGTATCATGTTTCCGATTAATATAATTCTAGCATGAATAGTAAACATTTATCATGATATAAGGAAATAAATAATAACTTTATTATTGCCTCTAGGGCATATTTCCTTCACCTCCCTCATCCCTCATATTTTAAAACTGGACAAGTTTAACCCAAACCCGTAAAGAAAGTTGTATTGGGCTGGCATGTCCTCGGGTTTGACTAAGCCCAATTCTTTTCAGCTTTTGATTCTCGAGAATCAACTTTTGGGAAACTTCTCACAAAATCAACCATCGAGTTCTTTTCTGAGATTGTGGTGGTCTGAGATTACGGGATGAGTTTGTGTGCTGACATGTCTATAATGTCCTTAAACTAAAACTGGGTGTTGAAACGATAGCATTCAAATTAGCACATAGTAGAAGCAAAAAAGAACCATTCATAGTTGCATTGAGTAATCACAGTTTTTTTAACCAAGTCATCTTCCCTTTACAGTTGCATTGAGCATTTATAGTAGTAAAAAGAAAATTACATGATCGGTCCATTCATCCATCCATCTACGAAAAACCTAGCACCATTGATCCATCCATCAAGCAAATCATGTACTAAGCATCTACATACATCCCGTAAAAAAAGCATCTACATATATTCATTTTATCCAACTTTCATGTACAAGAGGGGAACTAGAATAGAGAGATGAACAAACACCGAAGGAGGAGAGGCTCACCAGGCAGCGGTGCAAGAGAGTTGTGGCCGCGGGATGAGCTCTTCCACCGCTGGGATTGGATGATTTACCCCACTTTATAAGGGATTGCATGATTTGCCCCAGGGTTGTTTCAATTACCAGTGGCTCCGATCCCACCCGGCAGCCTCTCAGGAGGGCAAATTATCAAATGGGGAAGTAAAGTGGGGCCAAAGATTTAATTTCTCGAAAATCGAGCGAGGGGAGACCGATCGAGCCAACCCAATCGTTTTCTCGGGCGGAAGGGCATTTTGCCCGTAATTTTGCCTTTAAACAAAGGGTATGCCCTAAAAATTAAAATGTTTTCTTTTGAGGGAGATCCAAAATCGACCCAAAACGATGCTTCTAAGTTGCACTGTCGATTGTGGTTCGATTTTCATAATTCTACATAATCAAATCAAGTTCTTTTAAGCTTCTGATTTTCCAGACCCTGATTCTTCATAATCAGGTCAAAAGAACTGGGCCTAAGAACATCTCAAGTTACTGCCATCCCATCTCAACTCATCTCATTTCTCTGGATGCATAAGCAGCATTTTGTCGAACATCTTGTGTGCGTTCGGCCTCCACGCCGCCGGCGTAACACCGAGCTCAAGTCCGGTCACCTTGCGCTGGTGGCCAAGCGCACTACACCAGTTCGCACCACACACGCCGCCACTCATCGTCGACAAGCGGCAGGGCATCAATGAACGAGCCGAATGAGGTGGTAGACGGCGCATACGAGCAGGAGAATTGTTCAGCTCCTGAGCGAGGCATCGCGTAGGCGGCGCGTGTCGTGGCGGCGCCCGCGCGTCCAGGCCCGTCGGGAGCAGCAGGCCGGCGTTGCTGCGCATGACGTACGCGCTGTGCTGCATGCTCCCGCGTCGGCTACTGCAATGGCCCGAAGCGTGTGGCGGCGTGCCGATCGACCAACGTCATGTCGCCGCCGAGGAGGGCCACCAGGATGCGCACATCGCTGGCGGCCACGGCCAGCTCGCCGACGATGAGGCAAGTGTGATTACCCCCGGGAAATGCATGCCAGCTGTTCGATAAAATGACTACAATAAAGTTTCAATACCAGCCCAATACCGCTCCATTTTCTGGTTCTGGACGAAACATGTCTGATTTTGAAACACAAGGGACCAAATGTCGACGGAAAAAAGATGAGGGATCCAATGTCTACTTGTAAACTTGAGGGACCAACAATATACACTTTTCTCAAAACAAAACAGATATGAAACTCAAACAAATATTCATGTTTGTCTAGATCATGTGCAAGAAGGATATATATAGACACACACACAAGCATGCATAGAGAGGTGTTCTTCAGTTCTTGCATATTAACTGAGATTCATTTTTGCGCTTGCAGCATAGAACGAAGACAAGTTGCGACTTCAGTGAATGAAGGTCTTCGCTCAGGCTCAGTTGACCAGCATTGCTCCATGAGTTTCCTCCATTCCGGGTTACATGAAGTGGGCACTGGCGGCCTCAGTGTGTCACTCAAAATACCCCCTGCACACTCCCATTGGAAACTAATGTTTAATAATTTACTCAAGAAGAGCGAAGGTATGTTTTCGGTTAAATTAGCATATAAATTTACCACCTGGTTCCCTGAACTTGAGAATTACACACCCAGGCACCTAAACTTGTATAAATGAATATATTCAACTACCTAGGTGACTAGTAGCAACTATATATGATTTTGCTATAACTTACTGTTTGGCTTTGTGTAGATCATGTGAAATTAACGAATAATGATGTTCTTTTGTTTAAATGAAGTTAACATAGATCCTGCAAACATTCTCGCCTTTCATGACCTTTCTTTTCAAGAAGATCTCAAGATTTAGCTTAAATAAGTTGTCAACAACTGCTATTTAAGTAGTTTCAGCTTATCCCTACTCACAAGTATATGATACTCATGTTTAAGGACTTAAATGTGCGGTTCCCAAGTTTAGGACCCAAGTGGTATAATTGCAGAACCATGGAATTCAGAAGATGAGATTACCACTACAGCCTACGGATGGAGGATCATACTGTTTCATACCTATAACTCCTCCATAGTGCATGCCATCATATGGATCCTCACCAGTGAGAATTTCCCACATCACAACGCCAAAAGAATAGACATCGACCTGTGTTACCATAAAATTGGCATATTTGAGAATACAAAAGAGAAGAACATGTCAGGCCTAAGTATATTCTAGAAATTTTACAATCTTTTTGTCAGTGTGTGTTAAATTCTGCAAGTTTTTTTTTTTCATGAATCAAATAGGAGGAATGCTCTAGTTCATGTTTAAAGTGAATTTTCATTAACCGTTATCCCCTCTATATCACAAATAAGTAACTTTTTGGGCATGCTTTCAGTCAAACTTTTAAAACTTTGGCTGCAAATATCATTTTAATTGCTATGTTTAATTTTTTTAAATCATATGTATAGATCTTTCAGAAAGCATTTCTAGAATATCATGTTTTTCAGTCTTGTACATATATTCCTACTATAGATTAGTGATCAAAGTTATATCTCAAAGACCGTGTCAGTATCTAAAAAGTCACTTGTTTGTGATATGAAGAGAGTATATAGCACTCCCAGTGAGCAGGTCAAATATCTTCAGCATCATGCCACAGTTTGAACAATGTTATACATTCATATAACTGATAAGTATGTCGTATAACCTTTGTGCATGAATGTCAAGTGAAATTGTGAAACAAACACAATGCTATAATTTGGGTTCTTCGTAATTTGTAGCACCTTCACACTTCCAAGTCATTAAAAAGATTCATCATAATACCTTTTCAGATACTTTTGTGCCACTCATTGTCAACAATTCTGGGGCCATCCATGGAAGAGTTCCTCTCATTCCACCAGAAACCATGGTGGCTTGTTTCATCTTTGATAAACCAAAATCGGCAACCTGCAGTCATTATTTCTCTATTATGCCCTTCATTTATATGCAGAAGTCCGTCATATGTATTTCATAAATGTGTATCATTTTGCTTCACCCATTTGCATTTCATATTTAAAATTAAGAAAATACATATGGTATTTTTTTTGCGGGGTAATACGTATGGTATTTGAATACTGGTGTTGTGGCATACCTTGCATATGGGACGAGAGGGATCCTTAACATTCACTAGCAAGTTATCGCATTTCAGATCGAAATGGACAATGTCCTTGGAGTGCAAATATTCCATTCCAATGGCGGCATCCATTGCAACAAGTACCCTCTTGCGCCAATCGAGATATTTGTCCTTGCGACTGAGTACTTTCTTCAGAGATCCATTGACCATGAATTCTGTTACAGTAGCTAATGTCCCCCCTGGCCCATTATTCACAACCCCGTAAAGTGCCAGAATATTCGGATGGTGAAGTTTTGAGATGATAGCAGCCTCTCTCCAAAATTCTGTTATCTGCATGATATTATATGTTTAATGATGGATATATGCTGCATTTCTGGCTTTCAACCCTTTGCATTTTTCTAAAAGGGATTAAGTTTTGTTCAGTTTGCTCTCTACTACTCCAGTTTTTAACAGATGCAATTGGTATGGCTTACCAGTTTATCTGCCTGTGATGATTGGTATGAAAAACAGCTGTTGTTTATCCGTTTAATGGCAACATCTGTTCCCCTCCATTTTCCATGAAAAACAGTTCCAAATGCTCCGGCACCCATCTCACGGAGATCTTCGAGGTCATCGTTGCTTATTATCTGCCATTTGTATGACATCAACTTTAGGAAGAAGTCCTTGTATAATGAAAAAGGTAGGAAATGTGTGCGAATGATATTCATTGATAAATGCCTTGCTTATTGCTCTGACACAAAATTTCCTATGTCACAGACTACTGCATGTGAAGTTAATTACAAACCTGGACATTACTCATAAGATCTCTGCCCAACACTGCATTTGCAGGCAGAGATTTTTCACTGCTCTTGGTTTCACGTAGCTGAGAGTAGAAGACAAGTCAGAAGTTATACGGTGAATCGTTTTCATCATATTGTACCATTTGAAACATGGGGTGCAGATATGATGACATACCTCAGCCTCTGGGATTGATGGTGCAGCATTTTCTTCAGCTTCATGCAATGGAGCTCTGATTTGAGGATTAATGATGCCAGTGCCAACCGAGCGAAATCGAGTGATTTCTGATGAATGCTCATCTGTTGTTGGACTGCTGGGTCGTTCTTGTATTGTATCACTCGAAGCACGTACAAGAGTATTTGGTTGCAGATTTATCCTTTTGTCTAAAGGTGTAGAAGCAAAAGGAAGTACCGATGTTGCAGGACCTGCAGGTTGGTTCTTCTGGATGCTGTTGGTTGGAACTGACCTCTCCGGATACTGCAAGTTTGCACTGACGTTGCCGCCAGGACTAGTGGATTCATGACTAGGTTCAGATATCTCCATCCTGTTGTGCGGCTGGAAATTAGTGTTCTTCCTTAGTGAATTTGATGGCTGCGTCGTCACACTACTGTTGTCCAATGGTATCTGAAGCTGTTTCCTTGGTGATATTTTTTCCTGTGCCCCAGTAGTTCTGTAAGTGTCTGTGGTAGTCTGTTGATGCTGCACCGTGGATTCAGAAGGCGCAGATGCACCAGGGGAAGCTTTACTAGTCTTTCTGGCTGCAGAGATCATGCTATCTTCGTTACCTTGTGCCTTATAATACTGGTTGATCATCCGTCTCTGGGTACTTGGGGGAGTCCTCTCCAGCTGACCACCTGCTATCACTGGCGGTACCGCGATGCTCTGCAAGGGCTTGCTTTTGATGGGCACTGAAGCTTCCTCTGTTCTGCCTGCCGGCGGCCCTGCTTCCACACCGATGCCAAACATCAGCTGGTCCAGGTCATTGGCCGAGGATCTACCGATGCTGTGTGCTCTCAGCTCATAACCTGGTGTGGTGATGATCCCATTGACAAGAGCGATGAACTGCGCCTCTTTCTCGGCATCGGATGAGCCTTGTACCACGAAACGCATGTGGCGCTCATCGTCCTTGCGAGAGAAGAGGTACATGTTGATCATTTCTCTGTTTTCCTCTAGCACAATGCACTCATCAATCATATGCCGGAGGTCATCATCGGAGGTGATGGAGATGAGCATGCTCAGTTGCTCCCCTGGTAGGTGGTACTTTATTGTGTGGGCTCTCCTTATTAGCCTTGTTGTCTTGCTGACCAACTCTTGCCAAGAAATGTCCCGGCTAATTTTCATCAGATGCCTGTCACCACCGATGTACCGGAGCTCGCCGTCGCTTGGCCTTGGCAAGAAAGTGCCACCGAAGTTGCAGATAAGCTTTACCTTCATTGATTTAACATCGTAGTAATCTCGAGGGAGCTGTCTGCTGGTGAAACTCAGTGGACCAGATGTTGGCGGATTCTTTGGTCCTTTCAGGTCAGAAATGTTAAATTGTTCCACCCAGTCCATGTTGCTGGTGTGGTGCTGTTCTCCTTGACGGTAATCAGAACGATGGACTACTTGTGTTTGCTCTCTCTTGCATAAATTCAGAAGAAATTTCTCACCAATCTGTCAGAACTAGCTCAGTACATGGCGTTGGTCCTATTTTACCAAGAACTTTATAGACCTAGGATATACAGTCTGTCAGAATAAATTTCTCCTTTTATTTGTGTTATAACTTATAAGAATCTGAGGCGGTTAAAACTAAGATATGCAAAGATTACATAAGCTCAAGAGAAAAGGAACCCACAATTAAACGAGAAGAAAGGTAACTAACCTGTAGAGAGTTCAGGCTTCTACTGGGACTCAAAACTTCATGGTTGCCAACAGCTTCATATTTTTGCCTCAGTGCCAGTGGTGTTTGAGATACTAATATGACGAACAGGTGAGTGGATTCAGGTATAGAAAGATTGTTTCTGAGGGAAGTTGGATTGGAGTTGGTGAGTTGCTGACTCACCTTTGAAGCAATGAGTGGATGGTGTCTGCAACACCTACGTTTTGTTACTAACAATATTTGTCATGTGGACTGTTGAACAAGATTCCATCATCAGCTGCCACTTAACCTGGGGCAAGGGGCGGCCCCTGAAACCTTTGTTGTCGTTGTCAAATGGCAACAGGATATGAACCATCGTCACTATATGGCCGCCCATAGCCCAGTTGCATTTGTCATTTTGTTTCTTCTTCTTCTTTAAAATGGGGCCGTCCCTGCTGAAACTTGGCTTCCGGTTGTTGATAACATATTTATTATCAAATACGCATGTTGCAGCTGCAGGCGAGGAGTGGCTGTCATGCATTGGTATTCTATAAGGTTGAAAGCTTGAACGTTTCTTTCCCAGGTAAAAGTAATGTTTCTGGTTGACCTATGACTTTTTTACCAACAGTCTCAACATTTGTTCTCCTTTCACTTTTGTATCGATTGTGTTATCTTGGACGTAGTTTTCTTCGTTGTTACTTTGTTAGCTAACTAAGAATGGAAGAATGGTACTCCTCCTTTGGCTGCTTTGCTCCATTCTTTTACGGTAGATGATTATCACATTAAATACGCGATTCCACTGCCATCTCTTGGGATTCCTTTCGTACTATGTTATTTGCTCCAAAAGGCGTTACCTGAGGAATATCGACAAAAAGAGGTGCGTGAGCGCGGTAAAATCTTCTTGGCCCATTAGGTCCACTTTTGTATCGTTTGTGTTATCTTCGACGTAGTTTTCTTCGTTGTTACTTTGTTAGCTAACTAAGAATGGAAGAATGGTACTCCTCCTTTGGCTGCTTTGCTCCATTCTTTTACGGTAGATGATTATTATATTAAATACGTGATTCCACTGCCATTTCTTGGGATTCCTTTCGTACTATGTTACTCCCTCCGTTCCTTGATATAAGGTGTATAGATTTTTTTTAAAAAGTTCAAAATATAAGGTGTCTTGCGTTGCACCACTCTTTTGAATAATTTTTTAGGGATTTGATTACATTTACTTATATTAGGCAAACTCCTCTATTTTCTCATGTCAATTAGTCAGGTGTAATCTCGCCCAAAACTTGTGAAATTTTCACTCCACGTGCGTTCTTTAATTTTCGTGCCAAAAACTATACACCCTATATTTAGGAACGGAGGGAGTATTTGGTAAAATCTCACAAAGCCTACCATGTTGGCACAAAATAACTGTCAAAATCATCACATAATTTGGACCCATCGGCAAGGTGTAGGATCGATTTCCCCATTGGTCACCGCACCATTGATGTCGAGTAGGTTATGGACGAACAGACGAAGCTGGTAATTGAGGCAGCATCACTGATAGTTGTGATTCATGCATGGCTTATGTTGATCCACAAGAGAGTTGTTCGTCGCAGTGACAAGCCTGTTATCTGTTATGCTCCAATGTTAACCCGGGATCAAGAAAGGATAACAAATCTGAACTACATCTACAACTGAAGTGAAACAAAGGCTTTGTGGATACTAAGAATGAAAAGAGCACCTTTAGCCAGGCTTGTGCAAACCTTCAGGAGTAGGGGGCTGCTACAAGATAGCATTCACACCTATGTGGAAGAGGAAGTTGCCATGTTTCTCCATGTTGTCGGTCGTAACCAGAGGTTCAGGGTTCCACAACACGTTCAGGAGATCAATGGAGACCATTTCCAGGTACTTCAGGCAAGTGTTGTATGCTCATGGGTAACTTGGAGGAAAGATGATCAGGTCACCAACCGTCCGGACTCCTAGCAAGATTCGCACTAGCCCAAGATGGTATCCATATTTCAAGGTGAGCACTAACAATATGTAGTTCATGCCTTGACATGCTTCTATTATTATGCTATAGCCATAACACAATCTTGTAATGCCATTTCAGGGTTGCATTGGGGCAATAGATGGTACTCAAGTCACTGCTAGAGTGCCCAGGTCATAGTTTGCAACATACAGGGGGAGAAAGCACTACACAAGTCGGAATATTCTTGCTGATGTTGACTTCGATCTGAAGTTCACATATGTGTTGGCTGTCTGGGAAGGACCAACACATGATGCTAACATTCCAAGTTACAACATGACTAGACCTGATGACATTAATATCCCCGATGGCAAGTTCTACCTAGGAGATGCTGGCTATGCATGTCGGCCAGGTGTTCTTCCACCCTTGAGGAAAACCAGGTGCCATCTGAATGAGTTCTTTGGTAGGAACTATCCTAGGACTCCATAGGAATTGTTTAATACCAGACACTCCTGTTGGGAAACGTTGCATGGAAAACAAAAAAAAATTACGCACACGCAAGATCTATCCATGGAGATGCATAGCAACGAGAGGGGAGAGTGTGTCTACGTATCCTCGTAGACCGTAACCGAAAGCGTTTAGTAACGCAGTTGATGTAATCGAACTTCTTCGCGATCCAACCGATCGAGTACCGAACGTACGCCACCTCCGTGTTCAGCACGCGTTCAGCTCGGTGACGTCCTCCGCCTTCTTGATCCAGCAAGACGGCGAGGTAGAGGATGAGTTTCGGCAGCACGACGACGTGGTGACGGTGATGATGAAGTGATCTCCGCAGGGCTTCGCCTAAGCACTACGAAAATATGATCGAGGATGTAAACGGTGGAGGGAGACGCTGCACACGGCTAAGCAATTGTTCTGGGTGTGCTAGGCGCCCCTCCCACATATATATATATATAGGTGGGAAGGAGAGGGAGAGGCCAAGGGGCACCCCAAGTAAGCCCGAATCCTACTTGGGCTTGCCCTAGGCCGCCCCCTTTCCTTCTTTTGGCGTCAATGGGAAGGAAGGAGGAGGTGCCCCCCTTCCTTTCTCCCACAAGGGGGGGAAGGCAGGAGGAGGTGGCCCCCCTTTCCTTCTTTTAGGGCCGGCGGCCAGGGAGAGGGCGCGCCAGCCCCTCTGTGGGCTGGTATGCGCCTCTCCTTGGCCCATTAGGCCCATAGACCTCCCGGAACCCCTTCCGGTGATCCGATGACTACTCGGTGCACTCCAAAACTATTCTGGTGTCCGAATACTGCCGTCCTATATATCAATCTTTACCTCTCGACCATTTCGAGACTCCTCGTCATGTCCATGATCTCATTCACGACTCTGAACAACATTCAGTCACCAAATCATATAACTCATATAACACTATATCATCAACGAACGTTAAGTGTGCGGACCCTACGAGTTCGAGAATTATGTAGACATGACCGAGACACCTCTCCGGTCAATAACCAATAGCGGAACCTGGATGCCCATATTGGCTCCTACATATTCTACGAAGATCTTTATCGGTCGAACCGTTATGACAACATACGTAATTCCCTTTGTCCATCTGTATGTTACTTGCCCGAGGTTCGATCGTCAGTATCTTCATACCTAGTTCAATCTCGCTACCGGCAAGTCTTTTTACTCGTTCCGTAATACATCATCTTGCAACTAACTATTTAGTCACTTTGCTTGCAAGGCTTCTTATGATGTGTATTACCGAGAGGGCCCAGAGATACCTCTCTGATACACGGAGTGACAAATCCTAATCTCGATCAATGCCAACTCAACAAACACCTTCGAAGATACCTGTAGAGCATCTTTATGATCACCCAGTTACGTTGTGACGGTTGATAGCACACATGGTATTCCTCCGGTATCCGGGAGTTGCATAATCTCATAGTCGAAGGAATATGTATTTGACATTAAGAAAGCAATAGCAATAAACTGAACGATCATATGCTAAGCTAAAGGATGTGTCTTGTCCATCACATCATTCTCCTAATGATGTGATCCCATTATCAAATGACAACTCATGTCTATGGTTAGGAAACCTTAACCATCTTTGATCAACGAGCTAGTCTAGTAGAGGCTCACTAGGGACACGAGATTTGTTTATGTATCCACACATGTATTTAAGTTCTTAGTCAATATAATTATAGCATGAATAATAAACCTTTATCATGATTTAAGAAAGTAATAATAACTATTTTATTATTGCCTCTAGGGCATATTTCCATCAACTCTAGCCTTCGAGTTATGGTTGAGAGTGCATTTGGAGCTCTGAAGAATAGGTTTAAGATCCTGGATCAGAATCCACCGCACACTTTCCCCATTCAGATTAAGTTTGTTCTTACTTGTTGCATTCTGTATAACTGGACCCTATAATGGGGTTGTGCTGAACTGGTGTCGGGGGAGGAAGAGGTGATGCCTGACGATGTTGTCAGCTCCGGCCATGGCGTGGAGGCATTTGACAACGAAGCTTGAAAGAGCAAAAGGATGAAGTGGGCACAGTCAATGTGGGATAAAAGAGGCCAGACAAGGATCTGAAGAAGAAGAAGACGAGCAACAGTAGTAGAAGAAGAAGAACTGCGATTTGTTTCCTAGCTAGGACCGAAACTATATCCACACCACTAGTGAGAAATTGTGATAGTACCTTATGCAGTTTGCAACCAAATACCGTGTAGTTTGTGCACCCAAAGCACCGCAAGAAACCAAACGGGAGGTCAATATTTGTTCCCTTGTGCAACCAGCCTATATGCGGACAACCAAACTATAAGTAGATGCTGGTTTTTGGCTGCTTTATCTCAGCCAGGCCCAACTGAGGCACACACGCAAAGAGGCAAAAAAAGTGCAGATAACTAAACACATCCAATACAACTCGCCCTAAGCAAAGTGATTGAATAGTTTGATTGTAAAGCCAGAGATAGGGGATGGGGCGGGCACATATCAAATCTTACTCAAGATGATGCGTCGACTCTGTCTCTCGCAGATGCTCATAGGGGATGGGGTGTGTGTGCGTGCGTTCAAAAATGTGAGTGTATGTGCATATGTATGAGCGTGTGTATTGTGCTAAAAGAAATGGTACTATACCCCCGAGTTGGAACATGATCTCAGAATTCAAAAGTATTGCATTCCGCTGCCCCGCGGGCACGGCACGGTGTTTTCCATTACGATCTCTGGTTTGGCAGCAGCAAACACCAATTTGGTCTCAGGAGAGTCTCTCCTCCAGCACCAAACACCAGAACCAGAACGGGCAGCTGCGCACGTTCCCCAATCCCTCTCCCACCACCCACCTACCCAAATCCCAGCCTTTCTAAAACCCTAGGCCGCCGCCGCCGTCCATCGGTCGCACCTCCTTGCAGCGTCCCCGCTCGGGGGGCCGCGACAGCTGGCGGTCCTCCACGGTCCGCATGGCATTCCGCGAGGATGGCTCGTCCATGGCCATCGTGGGCGCCACTAGCACGGTGGGGCGGGAGTTCCTGTGCGTCACCACCGAAGCAAATATCTCTTTTAAATGAAATACCTCGGTTTAAACAAAGGTGAAATGAGTGTAAAAATATCACTCATCAGGACATGGATGTGGGACTATTTCCTTCGCCATTGACCTGGGGCTTCACTTCCGTGGCTCATGGTCGAAGCTTCACTTCTCGGGGCTCACGGCCGGAGCTTCACTTCCCGGTCCGCGAAGATTTATACCAGGTTTAACTTTTGTTTATGTTAAAAATTTGCCATGTCCGCTTTTGTTTAATGAAATATGTCAGAAATGAAATGAATGTGTTTCGGTTTAAATCATCCGGTTTGCATGAAAATCGTTCAGTTTGCTCAAATTGCATTTGAAATGTGTCAGCATGGTCCGCGGTGGAGATGCCCTTACTCTCCATCCTTTAGAAGATCCATAAATGCTAGTGCTTTTTTGAAATGAAGTTATGAGTCCGGAATGCTCGGTGGTTATCCTCTCCACCTATGATTTTAGAAAAATGTGACCCCAACAAAAACGCATTTTACAACTCGCCGTAAACAAGTGGTTGAACAATTTGATTGTAAAAGCCAAACATATCAAACCCGTTAGAAATTAATTAATTAATCTCTCTGTAAACTAATAAATAATAAAAGATTGTTTATACCCCCTCCCTCCAACAGTATGTGAGAGCGTTTTGGACACTACTAGTTCATGGAGGAAGTAAAAAAATTCTTTGCTTAGAGCAACTCTAATGAGGCGACCCATTTCATTCGCGGCCGTCCGTTTGGGTCGGGCGGACAGAAAAGGCGGCACAATGCGCCGACCCAAACGGACGCGCGTCCGTTTTTCGTCCGCGGGCGACCCATTTCCGGCTCATTTTTGAGCCGGATTTGCGTCGGAGCGGACACGCGACGGACGCGTGCTTGCTCGCCTACTCCTGTCCTCGGGCCCGCTCGTCTGTGGCACATTGACCTTCCCCCGCCAATAAGCAACCCTCGCCCCTGCCTCCTCCGTCACCGACGCCGCCACCCATTTTGCCGACGACTCTTCCAGCTGCCGCCGCCTCCACATCCGCCCAGCAACGCCGCCCCTGCCCTCGGTCGCCCGCCGTCGCCGTTTTGCCGCTGGGGAGCAAGCTGGTTCCCCGCCGCTGTTTCCCCTACGCCCAGCCGCCCCGCGACCAAAAAGACGCCTCGCCGCCCCAGCCACAGACGACTGACACGCTCGTCGGACGCCGGCCGGGCAGCTAGCTGGTCTGTGGGCGCCGCGTCTCCCCTCGCCGGCCGTCTCCTTCTTCGACGCCCGCAAGCTGTTCGACAGTTTGCCAAGGTATGAAAATGGACTCCGCCGACGAGTTCTTTTTCCATAATTTCCTTTGCGACTCCGACGATTCGTCCGACGACGAGGAGGAGATATTGGCTGCTGTGTTGGTCCATCACCACCTCAACAACCAGTGGCCGTTGTTCCGTGGCTCCATTCCGGGCCACCTTCCGGCGTTGAATCGTAACCGGGAGAGCGGGCATTTCCTTCTCTGGAAGGACTACTTTGATACAACAAACCCGTTGTTCAAACATCACAAATTCCGCCGCCGGTTCCGTATGAGTAGGCATGTTTTCAACCGTATTAGAGAGTGAGTGATCGGCTATGATGACTACTTCGAGTGCAAAGAGGATGCCGTCGGCAAGATTGGTTTCTCCTCTTATCAGAAATGCACTGCCGTCATCCGAATGCTTGCATACGGAGTGCCCGGTGATCTCATTGACGAGTACGTCCGTATGAGCGAGTCTACATGCCTAGAGTCCCTGTATAAGTTTTGCAAGGCTGCGATTGATGTGTTTGGCCCTGAGTACTTGAGAGAGCCGACAACTGAAGATACAACCCGTTTGTTGGCGATGAATGCTAGCAGGGGCTTCCCCGGGATTCTTGGCAGCATAGACTGCATGCACTGGGAGTGGAAGAACCGCCCTTCTGCTTGGCAAGGGCAGTATAAGGGACATGTCAGGGCTTGCACTGTCATACTAGAGGCCGTGACGTCTCAAGATCTCTGGATATGGCACTTTTTCTTTGGCATGGCTGGATCACACAATGATATCAACGTGCTTCAGCGCCCGCCGGTGTTTGCTAGGCTTGGCGAAGGCAACAGCCCACCGTGAACTTTACTGTCAACGGCCACACCTACGACAAAAGGTATTATCTGGGTGACGGTATCTATCCTCAGTGGACCACTATTGTCAAGACAATACCCAACCCTGTCGGAGAGAAAAGGAAAAGATTTGCCCAAGAGCAAGAGAGTGCTAGAAAGGATGTCGAGCGTGCCTTTGGTGTTTGCCCAAGAGCAAGAGAGTGCTAGAAAGGATGTCGAGCGTGCCTTTGGTGTTTTGCAATCTCGATGGGGCATTGTTCGGTATCCTGCTAATACTTGGAGCACGCAGAAACTATGGGAGGTGATGACTGCTTGTGTGATCATGCACAACATGATCGTAGAAGACGAGCGCCCGGAACGTCTGTACGATCAAGGCTTTCAGTTTCAGGGTGAGAATGTTGTGCCTGAGCATGGAGTAGCGGCAACATTTGAGCAGTTCACTCAGTTTCATGAGGATATGCGTGATTGAGAAACTCACGTGCAACTGCAAAATGATTTGGTTGAGCATATGTGGACTCATGTTGGCACCCAATAGATGTATCTTTTTTATTCGTTTTGCAAAACTACGTGAAACATTTTTTATTTTTATTTGGCATGTAAACTATACTATTTATTTAGGCGGACTATTTTGTTTGTTAAATTTTCATTTCACCATATGTGAGAATGCAATGCAAAATTGGGCGGCTAGCCGGCCACGCCTGCACATATGGGTGCGCGCTGCCGACCCATATGAAAAACAGGGCGGACGGCCGAGCCAAACGGACAAAAAGCGGACGAAATCACCGTCCGTTTGGGGCGGCCCGTTGGAGTTGCTCTTAACCGCTTCAAGTTTAGCGACGGTCATTGGTTTCCGTCGTCTTTAATTCGCGTCTATACAACACACCCCTTGAGCCACATACACATATGGCTCTACATATATAGCGTTTCATCATGGCCAAAGAACAACTGTTCCGTCACTTGCTTTTCTCTCTACCAAAACACCAAGTTGGAAGCTTCAAAAGAAAAAGAAAAACACCAAGTTGGAACACGAATCATCAAAATTCAAAAGCAGCAGCCCGCTGTCCCGTGGGCACGGCACACTGTTTCCAGCGTTTGGCAGCAGCAAACACCAATTTGGCCTCGGGGCCATTCCCATTCCCCGAGCACGAAACGCCAGAACGGGCAGCCAGCCAGCACGATCCCCTCCCCTCCCCACCCAATCCCCCTCCCACCACCACCCACCTACCCAAATCCCAGCCGCCCTAAAACCCTAGGCCGCCAAACCCGCCGCCGCCGCCGCCGCAATGCAGGCCGCCGC